TTCTTTCTCTCCCCCTCCTTCCCTCCGTCCCTCTCTCTCCCTCTCTCCCCCTCCCTCCCTTCACCCCTTTCCTCCCCCTACTCTCACCTCTCTTACTGTATCTGTGTTGCCTCTGTCAATAGTAAACACCTCAAAATCAGGGACCCAGAGAATGATGATGCTTGTTTGGGAAAATGTGTGTCTAGACCCCATTTAGAGGAAAGAGTGTTTGTTTTTGTGGTTTTGCTTTGAGCTGACAGTTTAGGTTTTCAACAACAGCCAAATCCCCATGTGGTTTCTACATCCTATTGTTGGGTTTTAAATGCACTTTTCATGGATTCTGTTTTTTTAGGTCTTCTCTCCCTGGCAACACCCAGCTAATTCAGAGCTGGCATTAAAAGTGATCCAGGAAGATGGATTATCTGAAGAACAAAAAAGATTGTAAGTTACTCTTTGGGACTTCTTCTCTGGGTATAATTGCTAAGTAATGTATGCCTTGTATTTGAGGGTTTTGAAAGGACAATGCTAACATCTGTTTATCAGCCTGGACTGTTTATATACCACACACTCTCTTATCCAGAATTCTCAGGAGAAAAGGAACTTGAAAGATGAAACAACAAAGAAGCAGAAAACCATGCTGGAGTTGCTGCCATCTTACCCATTACACATGTAGTTCCTAGCTAGGTGGGCCAACTGAGAGCTTAGTTGTACCTGCTTTTCCCTTCCTTGTGGGCTACCAGCAGTGACAAGGCCACATGCCAAATGCTAGAAAAGTGGACAATATGAATGCTCTGTGGTATTCCATATAATCAGCCCTGAATAATCACAAATTCATTCAGCATCTTATTGGCATTAGAAACACAAGGGTTTTTGACCAAATGAAAACATCATATGACTGTGTAGAAAAGAGTTTTCAAGGAATTAATCAAAAGCAAAATAAACTCCAAGTTATAGAGCACCCAATTGAACCAATATTTCTTATTTCAGATACTCCAATGTGCAAAAACTCTTTAATGCCCAGTCCTATCCTGTTGGGGAAAGAGGGAGTCAGCTCAAACTCCTGAATGCCCGTCTCCCAGATGTGGACAGGTAAGCCTTTGGGTTTCCTATTTGTAGATGATTTATAAAATTTTCTGCATTTTATTATTGGGGGTGATGGTGAATTATAAGGTTGGCATGAGGGACAAACTCCTGGGGCTTCCCCAGCTCCCATCTCCAACCAAGGCAGTTGTGTCACACTGGGAACAATCTGATTGTCCAGAGGAAAGTGCCCCAAAGTTTATTTTACAGCGGACAAGTCTAGAGTTTCCTGCTTGAATGGGCACATTCAGGTTGTGTTAGAGATTGGAAGGTAATAACATCAGCTTTTTGTTTTTTCAGATTTCTCCAGCATTTTGCCGTCTGCAGTGTCAGCCAGGAGCCAGTAATGAGGTCCCATTTTCCTGTCCTCCTGCAACAAGGTGAAATCAGGCCTGCTCAGAAAGTGGAAAATGAAAAGGTAACTGAGCTAACCCAATACACCAGGAATCTGAAGGGAGGGGCTGGGGCCAGGGCCAGGACAGCTAAGGCGGATCCTATTCTTGGCTCTTTGGGGTTTAACAAAGAAAGTCCAGGAGATTTCTTTCATGAACTGACACCCCTTTCAAGCCTGATGTAATTGTACATTTGAAACCTGCTTTGGTTTGGTTTGGTCCACGAGCACTTGTGGCTGATCCTAAGGAAGCCTAGGCAACACCAGGACCCCTTCCCATCATACAACTCTCACATAAGGCCCCTTCTCCAGAGCGACAGAGGGTTTGTGGAGAGCTACCAGAGCCTGCCTTGGTTTACCATGTAAACCAGAGACCAGGTTTCCTGGTGCCTATTGTAGGACGGCCAAGACCAAGGGTCCACCTGCATTCCCTTCTTGTAGTTTCCAATGGACTTCACTCCCTACCAGCTGCCCAACACCTTAGTGTCCATTTTTATTGGACCGTCTCCAGTTAAAACTGGAAACTAATAACTACTTGAGACCAGAGCTTTGGAAAAATGGGAAGCGGGACAGGTTGCTTTTGTTAGGGGGAGTCTAGAGAGAGGTCTAAGGATGACATAAGGTCATCCCACAAAGGGGTCGATTTTGGTGCAGTAGCACAGTAGGACCCAGGGTAGAAGCTCTTCAAGGTCAAGGACCATTCCTCATTTTAGTCTGTGTATCTCTAGCACCTGATACAGTACTTTGCATTTCATAGGTTCCTAATTAATGTTTATTGAATTACATTGTATTCTACTATCCTAGATAACCATCAGGTGACCTGAAGATTGGGAGGGAAGGAGTAGGAGGAAGGGACTACCTAGTTTTCCCTTGGGCTGACACTGCTTCTGAGGGTTGGGCCTCCTGAAGCTTGGTGTCAGTGCATGGACATGGAGCAGAGCTGGGTTGGGCTTCTGTGCTTTGAAATAACCCAGTGAAATTTGTTTTAAATTATTAAGGAAAGAAAAATATGTGCACTTTCCCTTCCTCTTCCAATGAATTCAGTCCAATTTATTAAGCCCCTGCTATATGCAAGACCCTTTGCTGGGGGGTCTGGGGACACAGACAGAGCCACACCATCCATACTGTCAAGGAATATATATAGGAATTTTATATATAAAGGAAAATACAAAGTAATCTGAGAAAACAGCAACAACCCAGGGAGTCAGGAGGAGCTTCACAATGAAAGTGGTCCCTGAACTGAGCCTTGAAGGGAGCAGGGGATTCTCAGAGGTAGTGGGGGAAGGGGGGGTGGAAATCATCCCAGCCACACCCATGGATGGCAGAGGGAGTGTTTGCACTATTGACTGTTCAGCTATCTTTCTCAGAAGTTCCTAACTTAGTTATACGTATTCCCTTTCTCACTACATTCTCTCTCTCTTAATCCCATTGACTCTTGTGGTTTCAGCAACCACCTCTATGCAGCCAATTCCCAAATCTATGTTTCTAACCCTGGCCTGTCTCCTGGGCCCTAGATCCATTCATCTCTAATTACTATGGGAAATTTTAACCTTAGCCCTTCCTATCCATTGTGCCAAAACCAAACCCATTCTCTTTCTCCTCCTAGTTTCACTGGTTTTGTCTATAACACCACCAATCCCCGTTTTCTTGTATCTGTAAGGCTGGTGTTATCATTGACATCTTCTCCGTTACCTTTCCTTAGCCAGTCATCAAGTCTCTCACTCCCCATACGTCCCTGTAACATTTCTTATGGCTATTGCCACCCTCCTCTCAGTTTTCCCACAGTACAGATCTCATTACTAGTTAGCGTTTCTAAGTGGTCTTCCCAACTCCATCCTTTATACTACCACCAAATAATTTAGCTGTTCCTAGGGTCAGAAATTTTAGTGGATCCCTAATTGCCTCCCAAGTAAATTTAAAAAAAAAAAATTTTTTTTGGGTCTAGCCTTGTATGTTATGTAACTCTCTTTTATGCATTGTATGTTCAAGTGATCTACTCCTAACCTCTGCTCCCTGAACCCTCTGGGTTCTCTTGTCTCCATATCTTTGCTCCCAATGTTTCGTATTCCTGAAAATCCTTTCTTCCTCTTCACCTGATGAATCACTACCTTTCCTTTAACTCTCAACTCAAATGCTGCCTCCTCCTTCCTTTATGCTCTGAATCTGTAATGATCTTGGACCTTATATAGTTATTTTTTAGGCAGCTTTGTAATGTACTTGCCATAAAAAATTATTATAATTACTGTTGCAATTTGTGTCCCTAATAAAGTATAAATTCCATAAGATTAATGGCCATGTCTTAGGTAATAATAACAAAAGTTCACTTTATTAGTAACAATAATAGCAGTAGCTAAAAATTATGTAGTGCTTTAAAGTTGTCCTTACAACAAATCTTTAAAGTGGTACTATTATGCCCATTTGACAGAGGAGGAAACTGAGACTAAAAGAGATTAAGTGGTCTTCCCAGGGTGATACAACAAGTAACTGCCTGAGGCAGGATTTCATCTCAGGTCTTTCTGACTTCAAGTCCTGAGCTCAGTCCAAGCTGCCTTCTAAGGTTTGCTGAGTGCTTCCTACACCCATTCGATTTAAACTTGGTCTCTACCCTGGCATTGTGTTTTCACACAGTTCTTGCTTATTTCTTGAATGTCTTTTCCTTCCCGAAGGTGATTATCAACATTGTCACAGGCCTGCCAGGCTGTCATGCCAGTGATCTAAGTGCTTTCCTGGTGGCTCTGCATAAGGAATATGGAAGGTTGGTGTGACTGACCTTGTCTTTGTTTTGGGTAAAAAGGATTTAGCAGGTCTCAGTCAGATGAGAGGACACTTTGGCCATGAGCTTGGCTATGTCCCCATGCGGGCATGAGCGTTTGGATGGTTCTTTGTCGACTGAGGCCTTGTTGAAAAGGTAAATAAGGGGCAGTGACCGTTATGGAAATTTGGGTAAATAGTGGGCCAAGGGATTTTTGTAGTCTGATCCTCAGAAGATGTATGACTCCACATCAATGCCAGGGCTGTATACCAAAGGGATTCCTAGAGCCCAGTGTGCAGGGCACCTGTTGGAGGTTTTCCCACATCTCACACAGACCATCTGTCTATTTGACAAGAAGGGCTCTTTAGAAAGCCTTACTGAATGCTTCCTCTCTTCCCATGGAGGATGCACTCAAGATGAAGAATGAGATAGACATTTTTGGACTTCGTCAATGTGGGAATTTGTTTTGCTTGACGATGCACATTTGTGACAAGTGTTTGGTTTGGTTTGGTTTTCATTGTGGGGGTGGGAGAGAGAGAAAATAAATGCTAGTTAATTGGAAAAAAATTTTTTTGTTTAAGTCCTGCTGACTGAGATGCTTAGCTGGGCTTTGATGTCTACCCTATCCAGGCTTTGTCTCAGAGGAAGGAAGAAAGGAAGGAAGCAGTGGAGAGCTAGAGGAGGAGTAGATTTGTCTGGAAACCCTGTAAGGGGAGACCTTTGGGAAGTGCTGGGGAGCTCTGTTCTTGTTGAGTACTGACAGATTGATTAAATAGCAGCCTATCTACGTAGTTTTGGGAATCCATTCCTCTTAGGTCAATCAGTCAATCAGTCAGTCTGTCAGTCAACATAAATTATCTGTTTGAGGGCCTACTCTGTTCCAGGCATTGTGCTAAGCACTGAGGATACAAAGAAAAGTTAAAAACAATCCTTGCCCTCCCAGAGCTCACAATCTATCCCAATTTTTTTTCAGTCTACCTACATTTTACCTTAGTATGTGTTGATTTGAACAGAACTGGGTTTTAAATAATCTAAACTTATACTGGCCTTTTATAAAATCAGATAAAGGAAAATTTTAGCATTAAATTCTCTGGACTCTATAAATCACTATTTCTCTCTCTCCACAAGCTCATTTTCATATTTTTACTTCTTTGCCTGAGTTGCTAGTAAATTCTTTTGAAAATGTACTTGTGGCTTGGAATTAGTAATGAAGAGAGAGTGTCCATGTACCAAACAAAAGCTTTTGGTCACAAAAATGAGAGCAGAGGAAGGGGAGGGCTTTGGGGTCTGAGCATGATTAAGGAACTACAAAAAAGAGCAGGCTCCAGATGGACCCTGGGATTTTAGACCATCCTTCCTTGCTTCCTTCCTTCCCAGAGTGGGCAGAACATTGCTTTGCACAGTCCCTTCTTCTGATTTTTCAACTCTGCTCCATACCAGTCACAAGGAATGGTTGCTTTTGTTCAAGCAGTTCTCATTATAATCAGAACAATTAATAGAAGTCATCTAAACAGCAATTGGGGAAAAAATCACCCTATATCTGAGTTTGTTTGTGTTTTTTCTAGGTGGATGGTGTATAGGCAAACCATGGACACCTCTGAATGTTTCAGTGCAGCCCACTTCCAAAGATACTTGACTAGTGCCCTGGAGGCCCAACAGAACCGCAGTGCCAGACAATCAGCATATACCCGGAAAAAGACCAGATTGTTGGTGGTGTTACAAGGGTAAGCTCCTGAAAAGATGTGGCTAGACAGCACCTCCTGTGAAAAAGATCTGAGAGTGTGTCAGTAGTGTGACTGACTGTTCAGCCCCCAAAACTGTGCCAGTGTTAGGCTGCGTTAAGAGAGAATCTATCTCTAATTCTTTAAGTCTAGCCAAGTGCTCAGATTTTTAAAATCTAGCAGATCACTCACAAATGTTCAGATCCCTTAAGACTCTGGCCAAGATGGTGGATCTTTAATAAACCTTGTCTTTGGCTGGGGAAAAAAAGAGAGAGAGAATGTAGAAGGAGCAAGATGATAGTGTTGCTCTTCTCTGCCCTGCTTAGATCGAAGCTAGGTCATTATGTTCCATTCTGACGATCTTACTTTTGGAAGGACCTCGATGAGCTGTAGCATGTCCCAAGTAAGGAGTTCAGGATGATAAAGAGGCTGGAGTCCATGCCATATGAGGCTTGGTTAAAAGAACTGGGGTCATAGCAATGATCACCTTTCAGCTTATTCATTCTATTGTTAGAACTCTTGCTCAAAAAATCATGCAAAGAGGGAAAGGAATGATTTGTACAAAAATATTCATAGATGCTTTGTTTGTAATTGCAAAAAAATTAGAAACCACCTTTATGTACAACAATTGGAAGGTGGCTGAATAAATTATATATTAGTGTAATGAAACACGGTACTGTTAAAAAACGTGATAAATATAAAGAAGAAAGCAAACAAACATGGAAAGCCCTATATAAGGTGATGCAGAGTGAAACCAGCAAAAAGAGAACCATGTATCTAGGGCATGCACACTGACGACATCCTTTTATTTTTTTTTTAAGAGAGTGAAAGAAGGAATGAAAATGGCATCAGAAGTGATAGAACTTAAATCACACCTAGAAGACTCAAAACAAAAACATTTTCTTTGATTGTTTATGGTTTGTTAACTCTCATAGCTATGTCTTTTTGAAGGCTAGGGATTTGAGATAAAATTTTGACCCCTGTTTTATATCTACTTGATGGTAGATATACTACGTGGTATAGTGAGGTAGAACACTAGGCTTGGAGTCAGAAAGATCTGAATTCACTTTGCCCCAGAATTTACTAAGTTTCTGACCCCGGCAAATCGTTAAACAGTGTCAACCTCATTTTCCTCATCTGTAAAATGAGGATAATGATGGCCCCTACTTGATGAGGTTATTCTAAGTATCAAATGACATACCTGTTAAGTGCTTTGCAAACCTTAAAGTGCTATATAAATGCTAGCTTTTATTATTAAGTTTATAATTTTTAAAACCTTTTTTTAAAAGTTGCAGAAAGACTAAAATATTCCTAACAATTACAGACATCTCTCCCAAAATGGAGTTGTTGCTATAGGTAGGAAACTCCTCCTTCTTGGAGGTCTACAAGGAGAAGCTTGGATAACCACTGGTCAGGAATTTGTAGTGGGGATTCTAGTCAGATATTGGTTAGACTCAATGTCCCTCATTGAAGTCAGGGGCAGTGATTGTGTTCACAATCAGTCACATCTCAAATTGGTTCATTGTTTCCACTAAAGAATAGGCTAAGAGGAAAGGCTGCTTTGGATGCCGACTCTGATAGTAAGACTTAAAGAAGGAGGGCTGATGTTTAAGAGATAGAGGAAGGAGATAAGACCCAAGGCAGTCACTTCTCTTCCTCAAGGCATGATTCTGCTGAGCTGCCATGAGTTTTCTTTGCCTTGACTTTTTATCTAATGTATGCCACTTCTGGGGGCTGATGAATAGTCTGGACCATTAAGTGGCTTACTTCATCCTTGTCCATTTGTTTTTAGCAGTCATGGAATGAATTCCAACCCAATGAGTAAGGAGTGCCACTGGAGCAAGATGAAGAGCTTTACAATGTGCATCTGATGGAGTTTCTACCTTCCTAGGAGAAGGGGAATTGTTTGTTTTTGTATTCAGACTTCTGATATTCCTGCCTTCGCAATCTCCACACAACTGCAGAAATAACGGCCTTCTAAAGGCCCAGGTCTGACTGCATCGCTCCCCTTTTACCTGGAACATAAAAGTCAGCCTCCTTAGCCTAGCATCCATGTTTCCAGCCTTAATTCGTACTGCTTTACTTCAGGAACTCTAGGTTTCAGCCAAGCTGATGAACCTCTAGCCATTATACCTTTCTGGATTCCCCTGTTATTAGTGCTTTCCTACCAGAATTTCTTGGTACTGTATGGTATGTCCTTGAGCAACCAACCCTGAGCATATAAATTCTTTGGAGGCAGGGGCTCTTTCTTACTTTGTGACTGGTGCCTTGTCCATAGTAGGAGTGTAATACATGTTTACTGAATTGAATTTTTGATTTTCCAGTTCACAGCGAGGGTAGCAGTTTCACACTTGGAAGTTTTGGCAAGAGTGGCATCTTCCATGTGACTGGAGTGAAGACTGGTCTTTCTTTCATGCAAAAGACCTTGCTCCTGTCTTAGCAAGTCAGGACCCTCAGATTGAGTTACAGTAGCACCTGACTTGACCCATAGTGTCTCTGTGGGAATCCACAGCTTGTACTAAATACTGTGTCTCTAGGGCAGTGTTATTACTGGCCAGGCCTGTGCCCTTGAGGCTCAAATATTGAACTCTGACAGTTTCCTTCGCTGTCTGTCTTTGGTCTATTCCCCTCTGGTATGAACTAAGGTTTAGAGTTTCACTCTTTACAAAATGGCTTTTGTCTTTGGACAGTTTGACTAATCCTTTAGGGAAAGTCTGTTGCCCTTCTGAGCACAAAGCAAGGTTTTCTTTTGTTTGGAGGGACTAGCAGGTTCCATTTTACTTCACCAATATTGGCAGTTGGCATTGAAGGCCTTAAGGCTTTGATATCCAGTAAAATTCTTGACTAACTGGTGGTTGTCTTTAAAATTGAATCGACAAAAACCCTTGACCTGATTAAATCGTAGATTCAACCTGAAAATACAAAGACAGAGAAAGTAACAGACTTCAGGAGGCAGTTAGATCCTTAGGAAGTATCCTTACTTTGGAGAAAAAAGTCTATCCCCCCATTGTTTGATGAAGGGGATATTAAGGCAGAGGCAGATAAAGAAGAACCACAGATTTTAGTACTATAATAAGAGAATCTGAATTCAACTAACATGTATTATGTACCTGTTGTGTGCCTGGGATTGTGCTTGGCCCTTGGAGTACAGAGAGCTGTAAAATCATAATCCCTGCACTCAGGGACCAGGCAGTCTAATAAGTGGAATAGAACACTCACACAATCAGTATGATATCAGACATCTGAGCAAAGGAGAGACCTGAACAAAGTGCTCCAGGAAAATTTGAGAGAGAAAATGCTTCCCACTGGTGAGGATCAGGGAAGGTTTCTTCTTAGAAGAGCATGGCGCCTGAGCTGTGCCTGGAGGAAAAAACAGTTCCATCAGGGGAGATGATGTAGTGCATTCTATATAGAATATGGTTTAGATGCATAGCATAGATAAACTGAGTGTTTGATAAGCTAGGTAACAGTGGGGAGCTTCCATTGCAAGCACTGGTCCCCTGAGATTGTGAGCTCTTTCTGTGTCTTCAGTGCTCAGTGCCCTGCCTGGAACAGTGTAGGCACTTCATCAATGTTTACTAATTGGCTGACTGATTAAAGGGGGTCCTCTTCTGGCAGTTTTATCTAATGAAGCTTCTCTGGGCCAGGGACAGGGGGGTGGACCCCTTCATTATTTGTATCCCCAGTGCTTTGTGCTGGGCCTGGCACATGTAAGCACTTAATACTTTATCACTGTCTGCCCACTGTGTTTGACCAGAAGAGCTAGCTGAAGGCCCCTGGATTACTGGGGGTCCTTGGATAAAAGGCTCTCTAGGAAGAACTTGGCTCCACTGGGCTTGGCTAGGCTGAGCCTGGAAGATTAAAGCTTGTTTTGTGCTTTATTTTTTTTTTTCCTTTTGAATGAGTAAAGGTTAATGCTATGTTGAAAATGTTTTGAAAATTTAGGGCAGTCTGATGGGGGTCCCGCCCATTCCTCTCTGAGGGAAAAGCTATTGTGTTGAAATGACTGAAAAGCCCTTGGAGGCTGGCTTGAAAGACTTTCATTTGAGCGGCTTATTGTCTAATTCTGCTCTAGGAAATGAGAATCAGTGTCTCACATACCAAACTTTATCTTTTTTCTCCAAAGTTTTTTTTTTTTAATATGAGAGGGAACAAGGCCAACCTCCTAGGCCTAAGATTTAAAAGTAGTGATTCTTCTAAGGGGTAAGAATTTAAAAGAAAGGTGTAGGAAGTTCGAGGTCCGAGTCGTCTTACTATCTACCTAAATGATCTGAAAAAGAGGATGAGTGGAATGTGAGCCCCATTTTCCAAGAGAAGAATGCATTGAAGTTCTCACCTCTAGGTCCCTTTGCAGCCCATGGCCCATGACTGACCGGAATTCTGTATTGTATGTCAGGGTGTATATGCATTGCTCCCCACTCAGTCTGTCCATTCATTTTGCAGAAGTGAGGAAACCGTAACACTACTCTTCAAATCCCTCAGTATTTTCTCAAGAGTGGGAGTGAAGGCTTTGAATTGTTTTCCTCCCTTCAGGGGAGCTGAGGTTGATAGGTGAGTGAGAGGCTAACTCTTTTGGACACAGCTGTAAGGGAGAAGCCCAAACCAGCAGTGGGTTTGCCTCACTTGGGTGTTGGGGAATCGCACTCATCCTGAGACAGGTGGAATAATGGATTGAGACATGGATACAGGAAGACCCAGCTACATCATCCCTGGCAAATCACTTAACTTCTCCTTGGCTTAAGTTTCTTGATCTATAAAAGGGAGTTAGACTGAATGGCTGTTTAAGGTTCCTTCTAAATCTAACCCCTCATGGTACTTGTTATGACTTATAACTTGAGTTTGGGCCTTAGAGAAATTTTAGGGACAAGGTATTCTAGCTTTAAATAAGGATAACAGTTGGTAGCAAGTGTCCTTCACCCTATGTGTTGTGAGTTCCCTTACTCATCTTACCGTAGGGCAGACTGAGAGGTGTCCATGGTTAGGTGGGGTCAATAATTTGTAGT